GAGAGGAGACCTTGTGTTCTTGGCTACATCTGTCTGGGGTGGAGTTACTATTGTGTTGAGCTGAAATAAGAAAAGCCTGCAAGCACAGGGTGGGGTGTCTCAGTTCAAATATCACAGACTTGCTCTCACTTTTCTTGCTGACTGAATTTTCTTCAACAAATGTTTCTTCATTTGTTGTGCCCTTAGGACCATTTCTGGAGAGCTGCTTTTAATAGTTATCATGAGTCTCACTGAGGGCAGGTCAGCAAAGCCTTCACATGGCTAGGCCAGAAGTAGAATCCAGCTGGGTGCTTAAATATTAATTTGACTTATATTCCCTTTGGAAGAGTAGCAGGAAAAGAGAATTTATTCGAGCCTTCGTTTGAAAGCTCCTGCCGCGCCCAGGGTTGCCGTTACTTGAACAGAGACTATCTCATGGCCTTGGTCTCCACTCTCCCATCTACAGAATGGGAAGTGATCCCCACCTTGTCAAGCTGCTGAAAGTGAAGCCATACATCTGAAGTGTCCGGTACTCATGAGCACTGTACAATCAGGGCTCAGAGACAGCCCCAGCCCATAGAAGAAGTAGACTTCAAAGCTGGGCGTGGTGGTACACACCTGTAATCCCAGCACTCAGGAGACAGGAGGAGGAAGATGTCTAATTTGAGGCAAGCCTGGGCTACATAGTGAGATACTCTGTCTCAAAACAATATGAACAAAAGCAATGAGGAAGGACCTTAATCATGGTACCCAGTTACAACGTCTTGACTATGGAAATGACCTTCAACTGAGTGTACCCCTAGAGGCCTCACATAATGAACTCCTCTGCACTGTGAGGTATTTGGAGAGTAGAAACTTTTTTTTTTTTTTTTTTTTTTTTTGAGATAGGGTCTCTCTATATAGCCCTGGCTGTCCTGGAACTTACTATGTAGACCAGGCTGGTCTTGAACTCACAGAGATCTGCTCATCTCTGCCCCTGCCTCCTGAGTGTGGGGGAATTAAAGCCATGCACCACTACCCCTATCCTTGGATAATAGAAATCCAACTATAATGTTTAGAGGTTGGGGGTGGTTAGGACTGGCTACGGTCATTAGCATAGGACCCTAGTGATTGGATGATGATGCATTGAAGATGAGGAAGAGAAGTCCATGGAGGGGATGGTGTCTACGTTCTCTGTGTCTTACTCTGGTACCCTGGACCTGAACCACTGCAGAATGCTTCCAGAAGGTCTTAGAGGCTTCTCTTTACAGTGGGCAACAGTTCATGCACACACTCACAACTGGTCAAAGGACAGGAAATGAGTGACTATTAAGTGCCCGGCCCTAAGTGGACCATCTATACCACCCCCTTCAGGGTCCAGGGGCCATCTCAGAAGAGAGGGTGGGAAGCGTGTCAGAGCTGGAGGATGGGGAGGAACGCTGTGCCACTCTGAGTTCTGGACATGATGTGGTTGCTCCAGTGAACTCACAACTGTAGGTGCCTGCAGAACACCTGCTTACACAAGGTGGGGCCCGTCAGCGTTCCAGCATGGAGAGCAGAGGGGCTCATGGGCCACCCCCCCCCCCGAGGATCTAGGGGTGGTTAGTGGTTGCTGGGGGCAGGGGTGCCACTTTCTTTGGTGGTGTAGCCACTGGTGAGTTGTTCATCCTCCAGTAAATACCCCCAACCACGCTCTAAGCAACCCTAATTAAGTGTATTGGGGCATGAAAACCAAAACACAACCAAAGATGCAAAAGCAGCAGGGAGACTTGTTGAGGGGGAAAAGGGGTTGAGTGGGAGAAAGGGAAGACAAGTTAGTGTGGGGAGGTGGGGGGATGACCAAAATACATTATATTCACTTGTGAAATTGGAAAAGAGTAATAAAGTAGATTTTTAGAATAATTATTTCTAAAAGGTCACCATCAATGCATTCCCTTATCCTTTTATCTCCAGAACCAGGGCTCAAAAAACTTCCCTTATAACTTACAAAGCCTGCTGCTGTCTGCTACTGGTAACAGGAAACAGACTAATACACAGTCCCCTCTCTAACACACCACACACACACACACACACACACACACACACACACACACACACACACACTCAAGGGGAAAGGCAAACAGAGCAGCTGATGCTCCTCTTTCCTTAAAGACGCTAGTTTATCAATTTAACACACCCATGGGACAGCCTCCCACACTTGAAGGAAAACTGTTAGAAACAGAATGGCAGTGAGGAAGATTTTATGCAGCTTACCAACTAAGCAGAAACTCTACATAGGAGAAGCCCCGACAGGAGAGCAGATCCTCCAGCCTGGATCTCCAGCTACTGAGGACAAAAGGGCCTCTGATCGATACTGTTAAAAATTCAGACTCCGGGGCTGGAGGTGCGGCTCAGTTCATAGAGTGCTGGCCAAGGACACACGACGTTCTGTGTTCAGTCTCCAGCACCTTATGAGAAATGGGCATGGTAGGACAGGCCTATAATCCCAGCACTTCCTAGGAGCGGGCAAGAGGATCAGAAGTTCAAGGCCAGCCTTAGTTCCATAGTGGCGTCAAGACCACCTGGGCTATACGAGACCTTGTGTTGTCTCAAGCAACAATAACAAAAGCATGCACTGGAAATAAGGTAGCTTCAACAAATATTGCTGGAAACCTGGGTGCCCATGTGTAAGAGAATGAACAGAAACTTCTAGAGGGAAATAAAAGCCAGCGTTCCAAGATGCAGGTATAGTCAGGCTTGGTGGTGCACACCTATAACCCAGCACTTGGGAAGCAGAACAAGATCATGCTAACTTCACAGCCAGCCTGATCGACCCAGCAAGTTCCACGCCAGCCAAAGCTACATAGCTAGGCCCTGTATCAAACAGCATGCTAATGGGGGAGGGGTGTTCAACATATGGATTTGGTGGGGGAGATACAATTCATCCCATATGAAGGCCTTTCGAGAATCAATTTTAAAACTGTGCTAATTTCCCATCCCTTTCTCCCTTCTTCCCCAGAGTGTCTGACTGCACAGCCGTGACTACAGACCTGGAATTGGAATGATGGTCAGTCCCCAGAGATTCCAATAGAGGCAACCTGACACTTGGAGAACCCTCTGTTGAAAGCTGGCATAAGAAATGATGCTACATCCTAGTCCTCTCCTAAACAAGAGAAGATTCACCCTCCAGGGACTCCATAAGAGAGCCTTAAGGACCCTTGTCCTTTATCCAAGCCTCCTCTCTCAGGGATACCTGGGGGAAGCTCAGGACCCCTCTGTACTGCCAGAGTCCCCGACCTGTCCTCCTCCTAGCAAGAGAAAAAAGAGGAATAGCCTGTCTACGGTGTGCCCCGAGTTCTTGTGTTCAAACAGAATCATCAGAGTGGTAACCTTAGGAGGAGAAGCCTTATCGGAGGTGATTAAGTCAGGAAGAGAATTAAGTTGGGGATTGGGCAGACAACTTAGTTGGTAAACTGCTTACCTTGCAAACAGAAGGCCTCTCAGGTCAACACTCAAAACCTACTTATTTTTGTTTGATTGTTTCTTGTTTTGTTTTGTGGCAGGGTCTCACTATATATCTCTGGCTATCCTGGAACTCACCCCTGTAGACCAGGCAGGTTTCAAAATCACAGATTTGTCTTTCTCAGCATTTGTCCAAAACTAAAGCCTCCAGAGCCTTGGTCTGGATGTAGACACCTCCAGAACAACAAGCAGTATTTATTCATAAACAACCTGGGCTCAGGATTTTCTTCTTAGAGCATAGACAGACTAACAGAACCTTTGAATCCTACATTTCTATGAGCTTATTCTCCGCTGTGGAAGGCTGTGCCTGTGCCTTGTAGAGGATGTGACCATGTGGCTCTGGACCTCCCCCACCACCACTGTGACACCACCTGTGGTGGTTTGAAAGCAATGGCCCCCACAGGCTCATAGGGAGTGGCACTACTAAGAGGTGTGGCCTTGTGGTAGATATGGTGTTGTTGGAGGAAGTGTGTCACTGGGGGAGGGATTTGAGGTCTCAGATGCTCAAGCCAGACCCAGTGTGGCACTCTCTTCCTGCTGCCTGCCACTCTGGACATAGAACTCTCAGCTACCTCTCCAGCACCACGTCTGCCAGTATGCCACCATGCTTCCACCATGATGACAATGAACAGCCCAAATGAAATGCTTTCCTTTATAAAAGTGGCTGTGGCCATGGTGTCTCTTCACAGCGATAGAAATCCTAACTAAGACACCACCAAAGACGTCCTCAGACATTGCCAAATGACTTCCCACATCTCTCCAGCTAGGTGAGATCTACTGCACTTGACTCCTAGTGACACATCAGATCTGCTAGACCAGGCCAGGTTAGGTCACTCGAGTCTTAGATGGGAATAAGTAGCTACTGCCACATGCTCTAGGAAAGTCATCAAAATTATGCCACAGACTCAGAGTGGTTCCCAGGAGGAGGTCCCGCCAACCCAATCCCGCCATGATTGTTACTCCATACCTTGCTTCCTGCTCTTTGGGTAAAATGGGATTTAAAGCAGCAGGTAGCAGAGGTGGAAGAGTATGGGAACAAGCAGGGTAGACCCTTCCTTTGTGCCTGCTTGGGTTCTATTGTGTGTTTGTTTTATTTAGATTTATTCATCGTGTACTGTCTATGTGTGCATCTACTTGCATGAGTTTAGATGTACCACAGGCATGCAGCCTGAGGAGGCTGAAGTCAGCACTATTCCCTAGGACTAAAGCAATAAGTGGCTGTGAGCCACCGTGTGGGTGCTGAGAATCAAATCCAAGCCAGCGCTCTGCTAGAGCAGCAAGAGCTCTTAACTGCTGAGCCGCCCCTCCAGCCCCTGTGCCTCGGTTTCTTTAGGTTGCTGGGAGCACTGGCTCCTAGAAAGAGCCTCTGGTGCACAAGCCAGGGTTTAAGGCTATAGATCTGGATGCAAAGGCAGCTCCCTACTTTCCATCTCTACAGCAACAGACAGGCTACTTCCCCCCCTTAAGCCTCAGTGTGTTCACTTTTATCAAATAAGAGTAACTCTTCCCTTATTAATTTTTTGAGGAATTAGCTCTCTTTTCGCTGCTGCGTCTGCAGCCATGAGTATGCTCAGGCTGCAGAAGAGGCTTGCCTCTAGCGTCCTCCACTGTGGTAAGAAGAAGGTCTGGTTGGACCCCAATGAGACCAATGAAATCGCCAATGCCAACTCCCATCAGCAGATCTGGAAGCTGATCAAGGACGGGCTGATCATCTGGAAGCCTGTGACCATCCATTCCCGGGCTCGATGCCGGAAAAACACTTTGGCTCCATGGGAGGGCAGGCATATGGGCATAGGGAAGTGGAAGGGTACTGCCAATGCTCGGATGCCTGAGAAGGTGACCTGGATGAGAAGGATGCGGATCCTGCGCCCACTTCTCAGGAGATACCGTGAATTCAAGAAGATTGACCGCCATATGTATCACAGCCTGTATATGAAGGTCAAGGGGAATGTCTTCAAAAACAAGCGGATTCTCATGGAACACATCCACAAGCTGAAGGCAGACAAGGTCCACAAGAAGCTCCTGGCTGACCAGGCTGAGGCTCGCAGATCTAAGACCAAGGAAGCCTGAAAGCACCAGGAGGAGTGTCTCCAGGCCAAGAAGGAGGAAATCATCAAGACGCTGTCCAAGGAGGAAGAGACCAAGAAATAAAGCTTCCCTCATGTCTGTACATAGGCCTCAGGTGGATCAGTCATTAAAATAAAACAAGCCTTAAAACAATTTTTTTGAGCAATTAAAAGACTGCATAGAAAGTGAGAAAACAAACAGTACCCTAGAACTTGCTGGATTAGAAGTTGGCCAGCTGAGACCCATGACGGACTGTGCCAACTCTCCAAGCACACTGAGGGTTGAGACAGGACTAAGGCCCCCACCCCCTCTCAAGGTCGAAGGCACTCCGCTGAGGCGGTCCCTGAGGCCCAGAAGTAGATGTGTGTCTGCCAGGCTTAGGACTCTTACATTCCTGACCAGTACTATGGCCTGTCATCCACAAGGAATTCAGTCTCAGCCTCAGACTAACATGGCCCTCCCTGGCCTTGGCCTCCAGTCTCTCGATGAGGTGAGCTAGCCATTTGGGCAGGAAGCTGGAACAGATGCTGACAACCTGTGGCTCTGAGCGGTGCCTCTCATTGTTCTCCAGCCTCCCTTGTCCCTCCTCACTTCCTGCCCCATTACTGCTGTGTGGATCCCTGCCTGGTGACCTGGTAGATCCATGTTCAAATCCCACCTCTGCTATCTTCTGGATGCCTAGTGATGGGAAACTCATCTTTCTTCCTGGGCTTCTCTCTGTTCATCTTTAAAATGCAGGTGCTGAGTGCTGATATCACAGGGTGGCAGGGTTCAGAGGGAATGGTACATCTAACAGTACAGTGAGCATGCTCAAAAGAGACCAGTTTACTGCAACAGGAAGAAGGGGCTGCTCCTTTGTCCTTGCTCTTCTTTGGAATTTGTTTTTCTTTGTTGTGTTATTTTGCTTTGCTTTTTTTTTTTTTTTTTTTTTTTTTTTTTTTTTTTTTTTTTTTTTTT